ATTTGGCTTACTGCTCCCACTAGCCTGAAAAGAGTAAGAGGCTTCGCCAGGATATAGTGATATAGAGAAGGAGTATTGCTACTACTCTGACCTGTACTTCTAATATAAGACAGCTTGAGCCTAGCTGTTCTTTATCTTGAGATATGAGACTTGCATAAAGACTCACTGCTGCTTCCCAGAAACTCTGGACAAGAGACAAATCTCTTGCCAAGCCTTTTCTCTGCCTGTGTATTGACTAAAGCTTGTATTTATATGCTGTATCACAAAATTATATTAAGTATTAAAGCTGACTGATTAATTCATAACAATTATTGCTAAACAAATTATTCTCTTCACAGAGCACTGAAGTATTTTTCAGATTCCTCAGTTACTTGTTGTTCTTAAATAATGAACTGAGTGTTTTCAGTTTCACAGAACAAGAACAGTTATGTTTTCAGTTTGAATGTCACAACCACTTGCATATGTTATTCAAGTCATACAGTACTGTTGCTTAATTTTTTTCTTGTACAGCAACATCATAGATGATTATTAAAAGAAATACTCATCAACTCTTAGACAGAAACAAATTTCATTGGAACCTACAGTAGCATTTACTGGCAATATATTTGCAATTAAAAACATCACCTGATAACTTGGCACAATACTATAATAGCGTGATAACAGCAGAACAACTGAGAACAATACCAAATGCAGCAGCCACAGATGATGAAAAAAAAAAAAAAAAAAAAGCTGCTTACCTTTGAAAGGTGCCTCAAGTTGGTACAAATCTCCAGCAAAAGACATTCACCTTCACTGCCAACCCTTAAATGAGGTCTGGGAAAGGGTGGATCCTGGCTCCACCCCTTCCATCACTCAGGTACACTGCATGCACCTGAGCTCCCCTGGGTTGGCCCTGCCTTCTCACCAGGTGCTCCATCACTGGTTCAGGTTGTGACTTAGCATTTCTTCTACGCTATGGTATTCCTACTGTTAAACTATAGGTATGCTCAGATTCATTTCAACTGGTTAACTAATACAAAGTAAATTTAGTATTTTGTATATATGGTTCACAAACACTGTGACAACTATGCTCCCAGAGACAAGCAGAGATAAGATCATCACATTTGTTGTTTCAAACTCTCCCATTTCTTGGGAATCCTCTGAATTGCATAAACCATGTGTAGCCTTGAGTAACGCACAGACACCTTTCACTTTATAGCTTAACATTCACTAAAAATAAGTTAAAAATCTAAAGAAGCCAAATCTAGAGAGAATAAAATGAGTAATTATTTCAGAATACTGCACTTTAAATGCACATCACTTTAATTCTAAACATAAAATCATCACAGCCTTTAAATGAGCTGTCCTTGTAGATTTTCAATTGTTTCCCTGAATTTTTATTACTGTTTGCATTTTGAGCTGAAACGATCCTCAAAACACATCACATTCCTCCTATGGCAGTTGTTTTTAATGAATTGGTCTTCACTGCTTTTCTGCTTAAGACAAAAATCAGCTTTTTCTGAAGCACAGCCAAAGAGTAAGCAAATACCCACTGGGGTAGAATTTTGATTGTAGACTCATTTTTATGCATCAAAACACATCCAGGTTTCATAAAGAAACAAAACCATCAAAATATGCTTGTTAAGGACAAACAAAACATTAAGGACAAACAATCCATATAGTAGAAGCTATATCTGATTTGCATTTAGGTTTTAAGACTTTTTACACAGTGCTGCAGTTCTCCGTTAGGCTATTTAAAAAGTTTATGGTTTTCATGAACTTCCATAATTACTGAACCACTTGCTGATGTCCAGCCAGTTGTAATGAAAGTGAAACCTCCATCTACGCCAGAAAGATTTTATTGAAATAGGAAGACACAGCAAGCAATCTACAAAATCCACTGAAATGGTACCCCATGACCCAAACTACCTAGCACAGAAAGCTACATTTAAATCAATACTTAATTCGGCAGAAAAATCAATTTCTCTCCCTCTGCAATCCATAAAATTCATCAGGAAAAAATTACCCCTCACATGTTATCAGTCCCTTCAGTCTACAGGTTTAGAATTTAATTAGAATAGACAATTTCAAGCTCTGTAACAGGTTGGGGTGCTATGCTATAAGGTATTTTGTGATGTATCAATTAAAACATAGATTAGATGTGATGTTGTATGGTAGCTGTTGAGTCACGGCTTGAACCTCTGATTGAGCACCTGGGGAAAGGACCTGGCCAGCCCTGGGAGCACAGGTGAAGGCAATTCAGCTGTGCAACCAGAAGGGATGGAGCCTGGCTACACCTCTCTTAGATCTCATTTAAGGGCTGACTCCCACCAGGCAAGGATCTCTTCCTGGAGATCTCTCCTTGGTGAAGCTTTTTTCTGCAAACCTGGTGTCTTCTGATATGGTTGAACAATCTTCTTCCTTTATAGTACCTCTCTACTGTGCTAGCCCTTTTGTTATCACACCTTTGTTGTAGCACCTTTCCCATTATATTGACCTGTACAGTTGCTACTGATGTGGACACCTACAGCTTTTATAATTCTTCTAACCTTCATTTACTAAAAAAGCAAACATTGCCCATAGGAACATTTCAGTTAGAGAGGTCTGTAGTATCACGCTAAGTGCAGGTTCCATTTCTGGAAAATACTCAGCTTTTTGCAGAGGCTGCGTAGGACTCAGACAATCCTATCTAACAATTTATCTGTTAGGATTTAGCTTTTCTTAAGGTAGGCCACTTTGCCTTTATTCTTCTAGATGACAATTTTAGCCCGGCTGTGCAATAGTTAAAGAGCTTAACTGCTTAGTACGTGCAGAGCCCTCCAATTCCTATTGGTAAGTATGTGCCCTTGGGTATTGATGTTACACGTTTAACTGGGCATCTTACTCATTTGTGAACTTTCCTTTGCACTCTAGTTAGCTCGCTGTTAAATACTTTTTTAAATATAATGTCTTAGTGATAATGTTTTAACGTAACTTACAAAATAATATTAATCATTCTGTTTCATATTTGTTAAACCAGTGGGGTTTTTTAGAATGCTTATCTCAATAACAGGCTGAATTGCTAGCACATACATGATAGAGCCTGCTCTCTCATTACATTACTGTTTTGCTGCTGTTCTAACCTTCTGCCCTTTTCCACAAGTAACTCTTTACCTTTCCCTCTCTACTTTTTTGGAGGGGGCTGTTAGATATTTCTTTCCTGAATTTAGATTGTCTATACTTTTCAAAGTCTTTGTGCGAATAGAGACACATCTTATCAAAGAGGTCTAGCCTCTGAGAGTTTTTCTTCCATTGTATCCCACAGCTCAGATCTCTACATTTTTTTCTATTCACAGTCCTATATTGTCTCTGACAGAAGTTCAATAAAATTGTCTTTCTATCCACAGTATCAGGATTCTCAACATTGTGGGAACTGAGTGTTATAGACCTATAGTCTATCTCTGCTGAGAAACCTGAACTCCCCTGCCTGCCTTATTAGAGAGCAGGCCTCTGGCAAAAGGAAGATACCACTTGTATATTGCTGCATCACTTCTACTGTTTTCAGTCAACTAATTTATGTCATAATTCCTGAATGTTTCCTTTCCACACAGTCAAATGTTTAGATATCAAAAAGGAGGAGCTCTGCTGCTGCTATTGGTATTGCCTCTTTTGCTAAAAACAATTTTAAATTAGGTTGCTTTACTACCTTCTCTTTATTACTATGCTTTATTATTTAAAACCTTCCTCAACTTAGTCGCTTATTTCCTGCTTCTAGTATTAACTATACAGTAATCACACAACGTTACAACATGGCACCTTGACTTCCCACCCTAACAAATACAAAGTTCAGGGACTGTTTTAAGTCTCACTTTATTCTTTTGCTCCTAGTCACATAAGAGCTCCAGTAGATATGTCAGAAGTGCGTATAATTTGAAAATGAAAAATGCAAACTGTTATTTACATAGATAGACTGGCAATGCAGTAGTAGATAGAGCTCCATATATTTGTTCAAGCCTGCAAGCACAAAATCCAATCCTACCTAGCCCTAAAGTATTCCACCTTTCTAGCTTTCTGGATCCCTTACACTATACTTGAGTCATCTTTTAACAAATGGGAATTCTGTGGCTGTGTGCAGTGACTGAACTCATTGACCTAGAAGGTCATTTACAAATTCTAAGTTTCTATTTTTCCTTTTTAATTTTCAGTCTTCTTTTGTGTTCTAGCATTGAATGTGAAAAAAAAATCAAATTTTAACCTTCTTTTATCCTCCCTGCACTCACTGGTATGTTTACCACTAGCCATGAACTTTTTCTCTCTTAATTTTGTATTTGGAGGCAAGACATGAACAGAGGAAAGGGATGAGGAATGTGTGGAACTAATTCAGTGTTGCAGGCTGAATGGTACTTGCACATCACAGGGCTTGGTTTGTGACCTTATTTTCTGTTTTTCAGTCACCTTCAGTGGTACCATTCTGGTGGATTTCATGTAGTTTCACCACACCTGCTTTACTCCTGGGAATGCTGTGTGTGGAATGCCTTTTACACAGAAACACACTCTTTAGGAAATGCATGCGGATGTGAAGACTGTTCTGCAGCCAACACCAGTATGATTACTAAATAATATGTACACAGTGAAATGTCTTTCTGTTCATTGTTAACAATGCTCTGAAAACCAGGTTGCAACCCATCAAAAACAGATTAGGGCAACTCTATAATCAGTGATAAAAAGTGCAAGGGTGAGGGCTCATCTCACTTATAGGTACTTCACTGAAGTTGTAAGACTAATCACCTGAATAATGAAAGATTATTTATCCCAATTTTATTTCAGTCTAAATTAGAAGACTATACTTGCTGTAAAAACACGAATGTTCCCTGCTTTATTGCTGCAATAATGGTTTTGTTCCTGACATGGATCAGCATGAGCTCAGATATGTTACTAAGGAAAAATTAATAAGAAAAAACTCCATTCAGCTCTGCAAGCTATAATGAGCCTGTATTTGTCAAATGGCTTTATGGTGAAATGAAAAATTAATCATAAACAACCTTTCTGAACTGCTGGGTACACCATCCACGTGCTGGCTGTGAAGTCCATCTTTAGCAAATAATGTTTCGGGAGGTAATCTGTATGGGTGAGAAAATAAATGTACAATTTCATTGTTAACAAGTACAGATGTAATGAACAAGAAATGCAAGAGCATTAAAAATATGCTTTTCTTTACCTGTGCTAACTTCTGTGTGTGTTCTCACTAAATACTATCAACTATGTAGGATTAGGGATCAGATCATAAGAGCGTTATAACATGCACTGTACAAGACCTTACTGAATTTCAAACACATTACGGGTTGTTTTGCTTTCAGTGGACCACTGCTAAAAAGTTTAGCTACGATCTAGCTTTATATGCATTCTAGGGAATGCACATAAAGTGCTGTGCTCCCAGGACAGGTACAAGGAGGAATATTTAGAAGCCTAGAAGAAATGTGCTTTGAAATCAGTCTCCCTTGACCCTATTTTTATGTTGCTTTGAGGATAGTGCGTTGGGAATGATCCTTAACTGATCTCAAAGTAGTGCACCCTAAGTGAGTTTCCCAACAATAATCCATATTGGCTATCTCATCTCTTAAACATTGACATACATAGCCTTCTATCCCACACTGCAAGAAAGCTGGCATTTGCTTGCTTTGCTAACCATGTGAGACCTACTTAATCTACATTTCTTTGGTTTATATTTATAAACAAGGAGACTAAACATGAAGACAGTTAATCTTTATACTTTTTCTCTTCGTACTTCAAGAATCAGATATCTTCTACCTTAGCAATACACAAAAAACATCTCTCAGTGACTAACACAGACTGTGTGTTTGCAGTGTTTTTCCGTTTACCAAATCTAAACAGTGAAAATGTAGTAAAGAAGGTTCTCCACAATTTATATTAAGCAGTGAAAGTGCTCCATATAGTATTAAATGATAGCGTTGCATGCAATCTATGCACATTATCTGAAGGCTTATATACCTGTTATATATCTAAACTTAATATAGACAGCCATAATAGTTTGTATGAATAGGAAACACTGTGCTTATTGAGCCACAGTTATGAAACTAGAAATGAAATTATATTCCTCCACCATAATAGTGAAGCCAATATATAACATTTTAAAGAACAAGCACACAGTAATACATAGGGTAATACTGGAAGCCACACATTATTGCTCAATGCTATCAAAAAGCTGCATCTTCAGATTCTTTATTGAAACACATTACTTAAATTGTTGAGACAAAGACAAAACTGTTCAATTTCAGCTTCTCCCAGATTTCTGTTTTTATGAAATTGCAGATTATTTTTTCTTCTAATAGAAGTGTAATTTATTTCCTGATTAAATTTGTCTAAAGATGTTCAGTCCTGATTTTTTTAAGGCCGTATTTAGGAGCACAAGCCCTAAGCAGTGACAGCAGAATTCTCCTTTGCTCCCACTCACACCCTACATTAGAATTTTATTCCTCCTTTCATTACCAAACACCGAACAAATAATGTTGTGCCTTCTTACAGTGCTAAACTTTGCATTCTTTCATATAGGTGAAAATCTGAGCTGTTGTACAGGTATCTCATTTGCTACACAATTTTTTTTTTTTTTTTTTCCTTTTAATTAATCACCAGTTTGGTGTGAATTGCTCGTACTCTCCATTCCACAAGCACGGATTGTTACCCAAAAACACACCTGGCTTCATGCAGGACCTTTGCCAAGACCCAGCCATGCAGGCACGTCACACCTGTGCTCACTCCATCCCCACGTGGATGCAATGAGGCGTTTTCATTAAATTCAGCTGCTGGGATTCACTTTTGTGCCTGGGAACTGCTACGTTAGACTTTATTTCCACGTGATGAGCTACCAGGACTCTGATGTTCTGTACCGTCCTGCAGGAGGGCTGCAATTCAGCACCTCAGTTTGGGCATTGAAGAGATTTCACCTATGGGCGAAGCACAAACTGAGGCTCTTCTTGGAGTTCGAACGAAAGAGACTGCAAAGAGTCCCCAGGCTTCCAGCCACGCTTATTAGGGCTTATCAGCAAGAGTTAATTAAAAGGTAATAATTAAAGGAGTGCTTTTAGTCACGAGAACAACTAGTGCAGACAGCGCGGTACCTGCAGCAGGTGACTGCACCGTTCCCGCCGGGCTCCAAGATGTCCTCCCGGGCGCCCTCAGTGCTGCCCTGAGCCGTGCCCGTCCCTCCCTATCTCCTCCCCTACGGAGGGATAGGAGCCCTGGGACCGCGCAGCGCTTCCGCCCGGGGAGCGGGGCAGGGCGGAGACAGCGGCCGGCGGGCGGGAGGGAGCGCTGCGCGGTCAAGATGGCGCTTCCCGTGAGCGTTCGGGCGGGCGCTGCCGTGCGGGACCTGGCCCTGCGATCCGCCCGCCTGCGGGGCAGCTTCCCGGTGAGTGAGCCCTGGCCGCCGCGTCCTGCTGAGGAGGGAGCCTCTGCAGAAGCCGCCCTGCTCCCCGTCCCTCTGTCTGCTGCTGGCCGTCCCTAGGAGCGTTTCCTCTCGGGCTCCTGCTGGGCTCGGGGCTCAGCTCAGTCCGTGGCTGGAGAGAGATTTGCTTTCCTCTGGCTGTCCCCTGTGGCTGCTCAGGTTGTGCTGAGCCTGAAACCCCGCTGCGTTGGGAGCGCTGGAAACAAACAAACGTGTAGTGATAGAAACAAACATGCTCGTAGCATTAGGAGCAAGCAAACTCGCCCCTCTCGCTGGCCCGGGGCGAAGGTCCTGGGAGCAGCAGAGGGTCGGAGGGCGGCTCTGCCTGAGGCGCTCGAGGCTTAAATCGGTCTCTGGGAGGAACTCGCGTGGCCTTTTGGTGCTCCTCATTAGTTTCGTTTAGCAGTCACTTGATTGCTTCCGTAGTGCAAGTTTAAGCGGTGTCTGGGGCAGCTGCGCTTCGCTGGTGGCTCTGGCTCCCCTCTTTGGGGCTGGGGCTCTGCTGGGCTGATGGCGGGAGGCCTTGGTTCAGCTCTGCCACAAAACAGCAGAAGTGCTGAAGATGAAATGAGATACATACATTTGGGTTAGTTCTGGTGCCTTCCCCTTTCTTTTGTTTTCTTAGCAGATCAGCAACTGCACAGGAGTTTTCTTTGGTCTGTGCTCTTGAGTGTTTTCCTAAAAGCAAAAACCTCCTGGGGTAACAAAGCTGGTTTGGAGCTGAGTGCTGTGTGGTGCTGTTGCTGGGTGCTTGGGGCTGTGTGCAATCAGCTGGCAGGATTTACACTGTGTACCTTTCATAAGGACTGCCCTTCAGCCTGGGGAAACCTTGGTTTTCTGATGGTGGGTACAGTGGAAGTCAGTGCAGTTGAGCAATTGGTTTATTGCACATCTATTTCATATATTTGCACGTGCACATTTAAATCTTTGTCTTAACTGGCAGTCCTGTCAGTTCCAGCAGTGTTTGGTGCTCATGTGTTATGCTGAAGATGTGTTTCTGTCATAATGGCTCAGATGACTCTGACCCTACAATACCACCCCCATAAGCAGCTTCTTTTTGATTCTATAGAGCCCTGATTGGGAACAGCTTTTATAGGGGGTATCTGCTCAGATTCTCAAAATTACTAAGATATTAACGTGTCAGCTTCTTGAATTTGTTTGTTACTTACGAAATAGTGCTATTGAACTTGTATTGTGAATGACATGTTCTTGTGTTTGAACTATCAGATAGTAAGAGCTTCTCCCCGGTTATGCTCCTTCCTACAGACTGTTTTCAAGAACCCTTTCTTTCCAGTGTAACAATGAGTCAATTTTTTTTTCCAAGTAAAACATTTTTTTTCTATGGAAAGGTCTTCATTTTTTGCGATGTTGCATCATAGATTTATCCTTCACCTTTGATGGTATCAAGCTACAAACCTTTCTCCTGGTGTAGAGTCTGCATTGTGTGGTGCTACAAAGTAGCAAGATGAGGAATGTGAGAGAGGCCTTTCATTGATATAACTGCTATCATTTGACCCATTCCCTACTTAGTGTTGACTGGAAATTGCACCAATAATTTGATTTATTTACTATAAAACAGCAAGATCTGTTTTGTCCTCAAAGCCTGACACAGCAAGAAATAATCTTATATTTTTAAAAATACTTCTTCTGGGATTCTCCTCCGTTATTTCATGTTGGGAAAGGCTCAGACTTGTGACCAGCTGAGCGTTTGCTGGAACAGTTTGTTGGAGCTCTGGTACCAGGAGGTTCAGGCAGGAGCACAGCAGATTGGTTTTGTTTCTGATCCAGTGCTTTCTGGTGTTTTCATAACCCTGTGTAAGTTGATGCCTGATGAGGTTCAAAATCTTTCCTCATAAGGCTGGTGGTAGGAGTAGTATTCATACACTTTGTTGCAGAATTGCTCACGTCAAAACCATTGGTGCTGCTCACAGCTATGTTGAAACAAGGATTTCGAGAAGTTTGGTTGTGTGCACTCATAAAAACCTATATGAAGAGGCATTTTTTTTCTCTGCAACTTTAAATGTGGAATAAATGGTGCTTGATCTTATCACATGAAAATATTTTATCATCCTTCAGCTTTCCCTTTGTCTCTTTAACTTCTTATAACATTTTTTCCCTTTTTCCCTTCTTCGTGGATTCAGTTCTTTGTGCTCTTGGAGTTTAAATCTGACCAAGTGTTTCAAGAAGATAAAAGATAAATTTCAGTTGTCTGCAGTGCTTGTGGACAAGCGTATTTAGACCTGCTCTTACTGGAACAGTATTTGTAAAGAGCTGTGACAAACGCTCCAGGGACCTTTCTGCAGCAGAATTCAATCTTGTTGGCTAGCAACAAATAGGCTCCGTTGAAGGCTGTTTATTTGAATGGGAGTTGGATTCAGCCCTTTGGGAGAATGCTGTGTTTTCAAAATAGCTTCAGATGCAGTGAATTTCAGCGATGAATATAAATAAGGAACAATTAAGTCAGAATCATAATAAAATGCTTAAGGTAACTCTCAAATTTTCTAATACAATGGTCAGATAATAGTTAGTGCATTATACAGCCCTATGCTGGCCTTCAAAACTCGTCCTCAGTCCTACCGTAACATTTCCAAATTTCACACATGTTGAAAATATTTTGAAGTAAGAAAGAAATGATTGGACGCAGGAATATTCCTGCTTTAA